CTTGCCAATCTATTAGATCACGTTCTCCGCTACATTACATTAAGTTCTTTCCGCTTGTGGAGATCTAAGCACTCCCAATAGGAGGTCACATTCCACTAACATATCGAACACCAGCAGCGACACCGAAAATTCCAAGAGCGCTTTGGAGATTGGCTGAAACAAAAATCATTGGAGAACGTTAGGGATCGTTAAGGGTTCTGCTATTACGGTATCGTTAGGGGTTCTGCTGTTACGGGATATTTAGGGATTCTGCTGTTACCGTATCGTTAAGGGTTCTGCTGTTACGGGATATTTAGGGGTTCTGCTGTTACGGGATCGCTGGGGGTTCTGCTGTTACGGGATCTTTAGGGGTTCTGCTATTACGGGATCGTTAGGGGTTCTGCTGTTACGGGATCGTTAGGGGTTCTGCTGTTACGGGGTCGTTAGGGGTTCTGCTGTTACGGGATCTTTAGGGGTTCTGCTGTTAAGGGATCTTTAGGGGTTCTGCTGTTACGGGATCTTTAGGGGTTGTGCTGTTACGGGATCGTTAGGGGTTCTGCTATTACGGGATCGTTAGGGGTTCTGTTGTTACGGGATCGTTAGGGGTTCTGCTGTTACGGGATCTTTAGGGGTTGTGCTGTTACGGGATCGTTAGGGGTTCTGCTATTACGGGAACGTTAGGGGTTCTGTTGTTACGGGATCGTTAAGAGTTATGACGTTACGGGATCGTTAGGGGTTCTGCTTGAAACAAATTGGAACTTTACACTGTTCCTGTTTAATATTTCGAAGTTAATAGATAAACTCTCGTGAGCTCGTGTCCAGTTAATAAAAATATCAACCTAATCGTGACAGAAAATCTCCATCGCCAGGTTCTGTATATCTAATGTAAGACGGATAATGTTTATAAATACCACATCACGCGCACACGTGCAGTTAGGATAATGTCCCCCCATTTCCGAGCAACTAGCTAGCCTACGTACTTGTGTGCACTGGTAGTCACGGAAGTGTCGGCATGTTACCTTCTGTGTCATAGCAAATGTTTCATTGTATGGCTGTAAGTTACGTCAGGGGAAGCTAGGCCTGCTGTGGGTTCCGGCCGCCGTCTGGATACTTACAGGCGTAAAGACAAGCCAACCATACACACAGAAACGTTAAACCAGTTATCGAATGATAAACAAATGTTCGCGATCGGTTCGGCAAATACACAAAATAACAGCACAGATCACGAAAATAGCGATTCATGAACACTGTATATACTACGACCGACTTAACCTCATTCCGTAAACGTATCTGATAGCCGGTTACGCTCGTGAAGGAATGTAACACGTGACACTGCCGAGCACGTGTTTCTAAACAAAGGAAAATAAACTGGATGAATATTGATAACATGTTCGTTGTATTTTGTATGACTCAATGTTCCTATCCCTCGGGAGTGAACTTCTCTCACAAAGGTTTCCAAATTTTAACTTGTAGCGAAAAACAACAGGTAAACAGTTATACCAAAATATCATATTACCGAATGTCATCCAGGTTAACAGTTAAACAAAAATATCATATTACCGAACGTCATCCAGGTTAACAGTTACACCAAAATATCATATTACCGAACGTCATCCAGGTTAACAGTTATACCAAAATATCATATTACCAAACGTCATCCAGGTTAACAGTTTTACCAAACTATCATATAACCGAACGTCATCCAGGTTACCAGTTATACCAAAATATCATATAACCGAACGTCATCCAGGTTAACAGTTGTACCAAAATATCATATTACCGAACGTCATCCAGGTTCAAAGTTATACCAAAATATCATATTACCAAACGTCATCCAGGTTAACAGTTGTACCAAAATATCATATTACCGAACGTCATCCAGGTTCACAGTTATACCAAAATATCATATTACCGAACGTCATCCAGGTTAACAGTTATACCAGACTATCATATTACCGAACGTCATCCAGGTTAACAGTTATACCAAAATATCATATTACCGAACGTCATCGAGGTTAACAGTTATACCAAAATATCATATTACCGAACGACATCCAGGTTAACAGTTAAACCAAAATATTATATTACCCAACGTCATCGTGGTTAACAGTTATACCAAAATATCATATTACCGAACGTCATCCAGGTTAACAGTTAAACCAAAATATCATATTACCCAACGTCATCGTGGTTAACAGTTATACCAAAATAACGTATTACCGAAAGTCATCAAGGTTAACAGTTAAACCAAACTATCAGATTATCGAACGTCATCCAGGTTAACAGTTAAACCAAAATACGTAATACAAGTAATTAGATGAAGTCGATTTCAGAAACCCGGTATAGGATTTACATTGATCGGATATATCAATGTGCCCTTTATGAGGTTTATTTATCCATATACATTTTGTTTCATGGGTGAGATTTTATCACGAAATAGAATACCGAACGTTTCAATCAGTTCCAACTGGTGTTTCGTATTAGTGCGTCAATTTCTCCGCTGTCACGGCTTTCATATTTTATATTGGACAGGCGCACGCGTCGAAACAAGTCCGAGACATCGAACCTTTTGAAGTTTTTTTTTTATTTATGAATACCAGTTAAGTGTTTCTTAATTGAGTTGGATAGTGAATAAGAACGGCGGTTATACTGTAAAGAGTATTGGGGTTTCATGTAATCCGCGGCCTTTGTGTAAGCGATGCACCAATCATATGGAATGAGTAAATAGCCTTTGAATGTTGGTGTAATTTACGACTGTACATTTATGTATGTGGCGGCAAAAGACACCGTGTCTGAAGTGTGATGGGCATCCCTGTCCGTGTCTGACCCGGTCTTACGTAAGTCTATCAATCACCAGCCGTCTTCCTTTCAATTACTAAAAACCAAAGATGAAAACATTGTGTGAGAACCGCAAAATGCAGTTGTATTCCTAGAAGATATTGAAAAAAACCTGTTGGGGACAATCTATTCTTGGACGAACTGACAACGATCTTGATTATCCGGACGGACACATCTCTTATCACTTTGTGCACTGACAGACATAAATATCTATATAGACGAATTAGTAATGGCGAACGGAAACCTAGTCGCAACCCAATGCTATTCGGACTTGCTGACGGACAACAAGTTATCGCACATTTGTATACGGACGTGTTGACGGACAACAAGTTATCGCACATTGGCGAAAATTGTACTGGCACACCCTGATCCTGACTCCTGTAATGGTGCATAGTCACCCATGGTCTCTATACGGACGCACATAGATGATGGACACAAGAACGTACACGGTTCGCTTATGATTTTGTTATTCATTTTTACAAAGGGACACAAAGATGAATGGCGGTCTTCAATATCCTATCTACAGAAGACTGACCACAGGAACTAGCCTTTTTTTGCCATAACCGTTCGTAGTATGACGCCGGGAGCAGCATAGATCGACAGGAAAATATTTTTCTTTAACTTGATGTATGATTTGCCATAAATCATGCAGTAAAATTTTCGGTAAACTTCATGAAACATCGAAAAATGGTCGAATTTCAGTTGATCGGACACTGCTGTCCACGGGATGACACGCTACATCCCCAGTGGGTAGCGCAAAACACCCCCATGTCCGCTATTCACTGTCGGCACAGTGTTTCTACGATAGGAAACAAACTTACAGCGTACTTGTATGATAGTTCATGGCCTAACATTATCATGTCGGACACCCGGGTCCAGTTTTCAAGCTGGTCAGGCTGACGATCGGAAATCTGAACACAGCCTGCCATTTTCTCTAACTTTTGTGACCTCGACGCTGATTGGCTTCTAAATTTAACGGATCAATCGGCGCCGAGGTCACAAAAGTTAGAGAAAATGGCAGGCTGTGTTCAGATTTCCGATCGTCAGCCTGTTTCATAAAGTCTACCGAAAATTATACATCAGATTAAAGAAAAAAAACCACTTGGGGGACGGAGTTAACAACCTTGATTATACATGTATTATAGGTGTATTGACAGACGAGGCTAGTACATGTGGACTGACGAAACCTCGTGTCACGGACACAAAAATACACATCGCTCGTACTGACAGTTGACGGAGACGCGGATGAAGGACGAACATATTTTTTAGTAGATTTATATACAGACGGAGTTAAAATATAAATATTAACAGAATTTGTTATAGCTATCAATGTGGGATAATGCATGATAAGTGTCCCGTAATTAACTTTCTGCATTGCACGTTCTTTTCCTTGGTCTCGAAGTACGGCAGGCTCCCAGACAAGGAATAATTTCAGAACACTTCTGAGATCTGACAAATTAGAGAAGACCAGTGGGGTTTTCTAAACAGTAGGACTTCGCGTACGTCACCACGCCGGCTGCCCATGTTCGTGAGGTGATACATCACGCGGGAAGCGGCCTATCTACAGCAGCTAGATGACGTGGTACTATACAGCTGGCCGAAGTGACCGTGTGTTGACGTTACGGAGCGCCAAACCGAGCAATGAAATTGGGGAAAAATTAATGATTGCATGACTGAACTACAGTCCTCGCCGAATTCGTCGGGGAGAGAAGTATAGAAGGCCGGCACGTCGGGTAGAGCAGTATAGAAGGCTGGCACGTCGGGTAGAGAAGTATAGAAGGCAGGCACGTCGGGAAGAGCAGTATAGAAGGCAGGCACGCCGGGGAGAGAAGTATAGAAGGCAGGCACGTCGGGTAGAGCAGTATAGAAGGCCGGCACGTCGGGTAGAGCAGTATTGAAGGCCGGCACGTCGGGAAGAGCAGTATAGAAGGCCGGCACGACGGGTAGAGACGTATAGACCGTCGGGTAGAGCAGTATAGAAGGCAGGCACGTCGGGTAGAGCAGTATACAAGGCCGGCACGTCGGGTAGAGAAGTATAGAAGGCGGGCACGTCGGGTAGAGAGGTATAGAAGGCAGGCACGTCGGGTAGAGAAGGATAGAAGGCCGGCACGTCGGGTAGAGAAGTATAGAAGGCGGGCACGTCTGGTAGCGAAGTATAGAAGGCAGGCACGTCGGGTAGAGCACTATAGAAGGCCGGCACGTCGGGTAGAGAAGTATAGAAGGCGGGCACGTCTGGTAGCGAAGTATAGAAGGCAGGCACGTCGGGTAGAGCAGTATTGAACGTCGGGGTGAGCAGTATAGAAGGCCGGCACGTCGGGTAGAGCAGTATTGAAGGACGGCACGTCGGGAAGAGCAGTATAGAAGGCCGGCACGACGGGTAGAGACGTATAGACCGTCGGGTAGAGCAGTATAGAAGGCAGGCACGTCGGGTAGAGCAGTATAGAAGGCCGGCTCGTCGGGTAGAGAAGTATAGAACGTCGGGTAGAGAAGTATAGAACGTCGGGGAGAGCAGTATAGAAGGCAGGCACGTCGGGCAGAGAAGTATAGAAGGCCGGCACGGCGGGGAGAGAAGTATAGAAGGCCGGCACGTCGGGTAGAGCAGTATTGAAGGCCGGCACGTCGGGAAGAGCAGTATAGAAGGCCCGCACGTCGGGTAGAGAAGGATAGAACGTCGGGTAGAGCAGTATAGAAGGCCGGCTCGTCGGGTAGAGAAGTATAGAACGTCGGGTAGAGAAGTATAGAACGTCGGGTAGAGCAGTATAGAAGGCTGGCACGTCGGGTAGAGAACTATAGAAGGCAGGCACGTCGGGAAGAGCAGTATAGAAGGCCGGCACGTCGGGGAGAGAAGTATAGAAGGCAGGCACGTCGGGAAGAGAAGTATAGAAGGCCGGCACGTCGGGTAGAGCAGTATTGAAGGACGGCACGTCGGGAAGAGCAGTATAGAAGGCCGGCACGACGGGTAGAGACGTATAGACCGTCGGGTAGAGCAGTATAGAAGGCAGGCACGTCGGGGAGAGCAGTATAGAAGGCAGGCACGTCGGGTAGAGCACTATAGAAGGCCGGCACGTCGGGTAGAGAAGTATAGAAGTATAGAAGGCCGGCACGTCGGGTAGAGCAGTATTGAAGGACGGCACGTCGGGAAGAGCAGTATAGAAGGCTGGCACGTCGGGGAGAGCAGTATAGAAGGCAGGCACGTCGGGTAGAGCTGTATAGAAGGCAGGCACGTCGGGTAGAGCAGTATACAAGGCCGGCACGTCGGGTAGAGAAGTATAGAAGGCAGGCCCGTCGGGTAGAGAAGTATAGAAGGCAGGCACGTCGGGAAGAGAAGTATAGAAGGCCGGCACGTCGGGTAGAGCAGTATAGAAGGCAGGCACGCCGGGGAGAGAAGTATAGAGGCACGAGTCTATAGCCACGATTATATTATTTACTGGACGGTTAATGAGTTCGTGTTTATAAGTAGGTCATTCTATGCCGTGCATGCTGCTATCCCGCATATAAAACAGTATCCGATACTACACACATCACACTATAGGGATAAATTCGATAATCACGCTGAGCTAGCGCCGTCTACTACACGTGTAACAAACCCTAAGTCACACTTAGCACAATCTGCTACCTCGTGGCCCACAATCTTTTAAGTCAATATCTCATGAACAATAACTGACATTTTGGCATTTGCATAAAATGCTGTACTTTGTCATAATGATTGTCGCAAAAGTTAGCAACACTTTATTTGACTGAAATAATAAATATGTCGGAAAGCCGAGGCGTAGTAATGAAATCATGTAATGTCCCTTATGTTGTTACGGCGAATTCGGTGTAGCTAACGCACATAATGGGGCTATATCGGAAGTCTCGCGCAACTTCGTTACCGTCACAGGATCCGATGACGCAGATTCCGTATCGAGCTGTCGTGACTATGAGGACGGCTGGTGAGGTTTTCTAGATTGACTGATATTACTTATACACTCGCTCCTAATCATGTGAGTCTGGCGTCCGTATAAATTGCATGTATTACATTTGCTGTTGGCATTGTTCGTCTAGAGTAATTATTGATTTTTAATTACATACTGAAAAGATAGATAATATTTCCGTTTTAATTGCAGAAAAAAGTGCGATGTCTGTCTATATCGTCCTTAATCTTCCATAGAGAGAAATCGTCCCACTGCCCATCCTTAATTAACACACAGTTTGGCATTGTCCGTTCTTTACTAGCACATTTGATAGGAATATAGTTATCAATTAGAGCTAGTTTTGACAACAGGCGTATTTTCGTAATTTTTACAGGATGAACCTGAATTTAAATATGTTTTTCATACGTTTTGTTTCAATTTTCCGAAGGCGAGACCAAACGTACTGATTGCAAAGCCGTAACAGTGTTAGGACTGTAAACTATAAACCACTTACTCCGTGAGACACCGCCCATCTCCTCTCCTGAGACGTTGTTTTAGTCAGCTTATCACTGAATTGGTTATTAAACGTAAGAAATAGCATTGAGACCGCTGGACTATTCCGTACTTTTTGCCATTTGAATTAAGTCTTAACTTGTGTCACTTTATTTGACTTGTCCGCCAGACGGACATTCCTTGACACATAGCGGTGATTTTATAGTACACTGACTGATCACTATGTGTTATTGATTTTAACCTCCTCACTGCTGCGATATCTTGTGGGGATCTGTTTAAATCGCGAGCGCGGTGTATTTTTTCACAAATTAAACGTAAATTGAGTTGAACACACTGGTATACTACAGCTCGTAACTCTAGTGTCAATGCTGACCAGGTTATGTTCAAGATTTAAAACATCAATAAAAAAGTTCTGTAAGTATCCAACATAGACTATTTATATAGACTGCAGATGTTATAATGGCCAGATAGACTTACACACAGTCAAAATGATTGTGAAAACTTCTTTATTCAAATTTAACTACGGATCAGGCATACTTATTATTCCCTCGTGTAAACAAAAGTTCCCCAGCTATTGATGGTGTTTTCTACAACTCTCGTTAGTTAATTTTCAAATTGTACAACGCTACGAGGTTTACCGAGTGTCTTTTACAACGAAAAATTAAGTAATGAGAGTTAGACAGACATGATAACCAGCCATCAACAATTAGGTGATATTTTAAAATGATATCTCCGTGAATCTCGTGGGTTTATCTAAATAATCACGTGTGAGGAAACCTAGAGTGGTTGTTGTAGAGGGGAAATAGATAGAGGTTATGGGAGTGATGAAACCTATAGTGATTGTGGGAGTAAAGACACATATAGTGGTTATGGGAGTGAGGGAACAAATAGTGGTTGTTGGAGAGAGGAAACCTATAGTAGTTGGAGTGAGGAAACCTGTATTGGTTGTAGGAGTGATGAAACCTTCAGTGGTTGTGGGAGTGAGGAAACCTAAAGTGGTTGTTAGAGAGAGGAAACCTATAGTAGTTGTGGGAGTGAGGACTCCTGTATTGGTTGTAGGAGTGAAGAAACCTACAGTGGTTGTTAGAGAGAGAGGAAACCTATAGTAGTTGTTGGAGTGAGGACTCCTGTATTGGTTGTAGGAGTGAGGAAACCTACAGTGGTCGTGGAAGTGAGGAAACCTACAGTGGTTGTGGGAGTTAAGAAAGATACAGTGGTTATGGGAGTGAGGACTCCTGTATTGGTTGTAGGAGTGAAGAAACCTACAGTGGTTGTTAGAGAGAGGAAACCTATAGTAGTTGTGGGAGTGAGGACTCCTGTATTGGTTGTAGGAGTGAGGAAACCTACAGTGGTTGTTGGAGTGAGGAAACCTACAGTGGTTGTGGAAGTGAGGAAACCTACAGTCGTTGTGGGAGTGAGGAAACCTACAGTGGTTGTTAGAGAGAGAGGAAACCTATAGTAGTTGTGGGAGTGAAGAAACCTTCCGTGATTATGGGAGTAAAGACACATATAGTGGTTATGGGAGCGAGGGAACATATAGTGGTTGTTGGAGAGAGGAAACCTATAGTGGTTGTGGGAGTGAGGAAACATATAGTGGTTGTGGGAGTGAGGAAACATATAGTGGTTATGGGTTTGAGAAACATATAGTGGTTGTTGGAAAGAGGAAACCTACAGTAGTTGTGGGAGTGAGGAAACCTATAGTGGTTGTTGGAGAGAGGAAACCTATAGTAGTTGTGGGAGTGAAGCAACCTATAGTGATTGTAGGAGTGAGGAAGCCTACAGTGGTTGTGGGAGTGAGGAAACCTTCCGTGATTATGGGAGTAAAGACACATATAGTGGTTATGGGAGTGAGGGAATATATAGTGGTTGTTGGAGAGAGGAAACATATAGTGGTTGTGGGAGTGAGGAAACCTGCAGTGGTTGTGGGAGTGAGGAAACATATAGTGGTTGTTAGAAAGAGGAAACCTACAGTAGTTGTGGGAGTGAGGAAACCTGTATTGGGTGTGGGAGTGAAGAAACCTACAGTGATTGTGGGAGTGAAGAAATCACAGTGGTTGTGGGAGTGAGGAAACTTATAGTGGTTGTTGAAGAGAGGAAACCTATAGTAGTTGTGGGAGTGAAGCAACCTATAGTGATTGTAGGAGTGAGGAAGCCTACAGTGGTTGTGGGAGTGAGGAAACCTTCCGTGATTATGGGAGTAAAGACACATATAGTGGTTATGGGAGTGAGGGAACATATAGTGGTTGTTGGAGAGAGGAAACCTATAGTGGTTCTGGGAGTGAGGAAACATATAGTGGTTGTTGAAGAGAGGAAACCTATAGTAGTTGTGGTAGTGAGGACTTCTGTATTGGTTGCGGGAGTGAGGAGACCTACAGTGGTTGCGGGAGTGAGGAAACCTATAGAGGTTGTTGAAGAGAGGAAACCTATAGTAGTTGTAGTAGTGAGGACTCCTGTATTGGTTGTAAGAGTGAGGAAACCTATAGTGGTTGTAGGAGTGAGGAAACCTACAGTGGTTGCGGGAGTGAGGAAACCTATAGTGGTTCTGGGAGTGAGGAAACATATAGTGGTTGTTGAAAAGAGGAAACCTATAGTAGTTGTTGGAGTGAGGAAACCTGTATTGGTTGTAGGAGTGAGGAAACCTACGGTGGTTGTGGGAGTGAAGAAATCTACAGTGGTTGTGGGAGTTAAGAAAGATATATAGTGGTTATGGGAGTGAGGTAACATATAGTGGTTATGGGAGTGAAGAAACCTATAGTGGTTGTGGGAGTGAGGAAACCTACAGTGGTTGTGGAAGAGAGGAAACCTTTAGTGGTTTTGAAGTGAGGAAACATATAGTGGTTATGGGAGTTAGGTAACATATAGTGGTTATTGGAGTGTGGGACCCTATAGTAGTTGTTGGAGTGAGGAAACCTATAGCGGTTGTGGGAGTGAGAAAACCTACAGTGGTTGTGGAAGAGAGGAAACCTATAGTGGTTCTGGGAGTGAGGAAACATATAGTGGTTGTGGGAGTGAGGAAACCTACTGTGGTTGTTGGAGTGAGAAAACTTACCGTGATTGTGGGAGTAAAGACACATATAGTGGTTATTGGAGTGTGGGAACCTATAGTAGTTGTTGGAGTGAGGAAACCTGTATTGGTTGTGGGAGTGAAGAAACCTACAGTGGTTGTGGGATTGAAGAAACCTATAGTGGTTGTGGGAGTGAAGAAACCTACAGTGGTTGTGGGATTGAAGAAACCTATAGTGGTTGTGGGAGTGAGGAAACCTACAGTCGTTGTGGGAGTGAGAAAACCTACAGTGATTGTGGGAGAGGACTCCTGTATTGGTTGTAGGAGTGAGGAAACCTGTATTGGTTGTGGGAGTGAAGAAACCTATAGTTGTTGTGGGAGTGAGGAAACCTACAGTGGTTGTGGAAGTGAGGAAACCTACAGTCGTTGTGGGAGAGAGAAAACCTTCAGTGATTGTGGGAGTAAAGACACATATGGTGGTTATTGGAGTGTGGGAACCTATAGTAGTTGTTGGGGTGAGGAAACCTGTATTGGTTGTAGGAGTGAGAAAACCTACAGTGGTTGTGGGAGTGAAGAAACCGTCAGTGGTTGTAGGAGTGAAGAAACCTACAGTGGTTGTGGGAGTGAAGAAACCTACGGTAGTTGTGGGAGTGAGAAAACCTACAGTGATTGTGGGAGTAAAGACACATATAGTGGTTATTGGAGTGTGGGAACCTATAGTAGTTGTTGGGGTGAGGAAACTTGTATTGGTTGTAGGAGTGAGGAAACCTACAGTGGGTGTGGGAGTGTAGCAAC